ACAGACTAACTTATTGGGGATAGAATCGACGAGGATGAGATATGAAATACACCCCCTGTACCCACACTGGCGATGCAACTAAACTCATCACCTGCCTCAGGCCTCCTGGTGGGTATTCTTGACCAGTTAATGGAAATGCAGGCGTCCTGAATAAGCACTATACAATTACAAATCCACACTTTCAGATCTTTTGACTTGGTACAACAAGGCAACAAGTCGCGATACTGAAATATGCAGACCACAAGGAATGATATTGGAGTTGTGTATCTTATAGCCTGAGATTTCAGACATCATGATTGATGCCTTTGTAGACCACACCTGGGATTGTAGATCGCATGGTCTGTTCCTAGATTTGTAATTCATACATGGGATTGTAGATTTACATGAGTTGCTTCCGGAAATACAAGACATGACTTGTTACTAGAATTTTGGACCTCATGGCGTGTACCTCATACTTCAGACCTCGTAAATTGGTACTGAAATTGGAATTGCCGGAATGGCCTGATCTTGGAGAAATATGACAAGCCATATTGAATTGCAAACCTCATGACTGTTAACTTCGAGACAGATAGTCAGAATTTGCAGACCTCAAGACCTGCTTATCGAATGGTGGAAAACGAATTTGTGCATATAATGTTCAATTGAAAAAAGAAATGAGCATATGTGCTATCTTATAAAAACCTTAGTCCTAGGTCATCATGGACTAAAAGTGTACATGCAGATCTTGGATATAGATGAAAAAAAAAACTTAATAATTTAAAAACGTAAAATCCACCACCAAATTGTTGCTTTTGCGGCGGAAGAAGCTCGTAATATACCGTCATTGGGTGCTCATTCATGAATTTTTCCTTATATACCAATTCTGAATTCTATCCTAATTCTTATCAGTCAGCAATTTTCAATAACTTGAATGTGCGAGCACAGGGTGATTAGTGTATAAATGCATTATCACCTGAGAATAACAAGTTGGCAACGCAATTTGAAAATGCAGTGCAATAAAATACGATGCATATTATTTTGATATCAGACGTAGTGAAATGAGTTTACCATTTCGATTTCAAAAATGGTGTTAAATTCATACCTTTTTCGTAAAGATACCCATGCGATTTAAATTTATGTCCAATTTGTAACATACCTGATAAACTGCTTGACTTTCATCTGATATGAACAAATGTCATTCTAATTTGATATCCGATTATAACATTCGTCACAGAATCAACAGGTAATTGCTATACCGCATCACTCAATATACGAGTGGATTAGAATTGTAGCAAATTGAAGGAAAACAGATACACACATTAACCTTTAACTTTAAATTGTCTCCTGATCAATACTTCAGCTATTGCGAAAGATTTGTATGTTGAACTTTACTAAATGATTATGTTTTTTTCCTGGATAAATTGATTACAGTGTATTATGTATCAGGGTATTCTTGGAGAAATTGCTTTACGGAAACAAGTTTCATGACACATAATTAGGTTAACATATTTTTGGTATGTGGGATGCGTAGTGCGTACTATGTGTGTTTTCATGATATATCAAAGATACCATCAGCAATTTCCAAGAGTGATATCAGGTGTTTCAGAAATATAAGTCATGGGTCAATCACGATATATATTAAAGGACTAATATAAGCAATATGGAATTGTTTTAGATATTTGGAAGTCTTACATTCAACGAACGGAAAATCCAAATTAGGCCCTATGTCTTAATTCATTCTTTGACAAGCAAAATAATTCACAATTTTTATTCTTTTATCTGAAATTTAATTAGGATATTCTTAATGACATTTTGTAATGATAAAATACTAAATCATTCATAGGATCACGAAGAATCTTGAAATTCTGCGATCATCCCTATTTTTGTGACCGTGATCGGGTCATTAGCCTATATCTATAAAACATAAACAATGGAATTTAAAACCTTTCTTGGATCTCAAAACTCCTATGATGTGGGAGAAACTGTTGTATACGTAGTACACGTCCTACTCTCATTGTGGATAATTTCACAATCGACTCCAAAACCGGAAACAAAACAATACAAATGACAGTAACACAAGGGATATCTTACGCAATTTCATCATTTGCTTTTAATGAGTTCACGCTCTTCTTTAACAAAGACCACAATCAATCTAAATTTGGTAAATAGATTAACCGGTAAAGTCCCAAATGGGTTTAGTCTTTTATATCAGATGGATGCTCCAACCAAACTTATCTCGCTGACTTATAAATCATGTTTTCAATGGTTTAGTTTTTAAAATTAGATATCAATCGGTTCTGGAGCCAAAATTGTCTTTTCGACTGCTTTTGTTTCCTGAAAAGACAGAAAAAGAAGGCCCTGTTAAATGGAAACTTCCCACAGGTGCGGGGGTTTTAAACCTATTTAGTTATCTCGGATCTGCAAAACCCAAGTATATTTGGAGAGATGAATATTATTGTTCAGTATACCCTTTATGTCATGAATCCGGTGTCATCAAAGTTTTCTTTAACGAAAATTATCTCACATCGGCCATTTAAAACTGCATGCACAACCACAAGTTCAAAGGTCACAGATTCACGTAACCAACAAAACCGGCCAAAGTTACAGTAAAAAAAAGCATCTTCGCTGGTGTGGACACTCCCTATTTAACAGGATCATTTTTCTGACTCTTCTCCAGCCGACATCTGTGAAAATATCCAGAAGAGGCTTAACTAGAGGCAGACGTTTCTGACTATGTAACAACGTGATTTTTAAGGCTCTGTCTTAATATTTCTATTTCTTTTTTCATATGGTTTTGTTAACATTGATTCAAAAGCTGTCTCATTTCAAGCATTTTCGTCTGGGGATGAAACTTACATCAGATGAAAACCTTCACGTTTAATTTGATTAAACGGGATATTGGATTATTTTCCAATATGTATGGGAGTGACATATACATGAAGTCCACACAGTTTAGGATCGGAAACGAGTAAAGTTATTTCCAGGAATATCATTTATCCACTCCAACGCTAAATAACCGTTTTTATATTCCTTTTTAATGCCTGGCGTTAAGGAAACATACTATACTATCGTGACCATGTAAGTTGGTAGGTTGATTAACGATGTGTAGGTGGATAGTGAAATGTCAGACTCCCATGTTCTCTTATATTAGCACGGTAAGTGGTTGTAACGAACAGTTATATATTGTAGTACCTTGACCGTAAATTGACATATGTTTTCTATTGATGAGTTATTGACATATAAACGTTGAGCTAAGTTATGTTGCCTTCTGATATTTTCTTTACATTCAGAAGGCAGTAATACGAATTAAAGGAATATCATATGCCATCAGTAGAAAAATAGTATTACTTCCAATTGTATTGTAAAACATTTCTTGTTGACGCCTTTTACAAGGTGATTTTATTTGGATGGTTTGATAAATATAATATGAGAAGTGTTTAATTCCAACCATCGCCTCCAAATATAAATCACTACCAATTGACTCTAAGCAATTACCAGTTCCATAATCTTGATTCTGTTTAATGGCGTCACGTTTCTATGGAATCAATTGATCTGATCTGAATTATTGCCGATAGACGTAAATAAACGAGGACAAATTAGTTTGAAAGGTGGATATTGTGTTGGAAACTGTTGATCCTAGTCAAACGTGTCGTCTAAATATAGACATTGCGTGTGTTATTTACTTCCAGAATATCGAGAAGATTGGCAGGTACAGTTTCTGTTAGTCTATTATGAACAGTACCAATATTCTTTACCAGTAGTTTTCTCACAGCGACAATAAATACAGATCAATTTGATACCAAAACACTATTATTATACGCCCACACCAAAGCCAGCTTGATGTCCTAAATTCATTGTTTTATAATACCAGGTACCTGAATATTGATCTGTCACAATCACAAAAGATTAAAATTAGACAATATATACCAACAAGAGTTCAGGAAAGCTTAAACCATAAAAGTCTTTTGCTTGATAGAAAATATATATATAATGTACATTGTTAGCAATCGAGAAAGCATAGGCGGAGCTCAGATGGTGCTCACGCGGGTCTCGATCCAAAATTCTAATATTACACCCTCAAATATTGTTTTTCAAGAGTATATACTTGAATTATATAATATTACTTAGAAATATTAACTTCTACATATTTAGCACTATTTTAACCTCGTGTCAGTACATTCTCTATTAAACAGTATTAAAGGTGTACTACTTCTAAGGATGACCCAAAAAAATGAAATTTTTATGAGTCTTACCCGATGTCAAACAAAATGAGGGATCCCTTCATTAAACTTAAGTAATTTTGAAACAAGCTTAGAAGCGTGTTTCAATAATGACCTAGTTTAATGGATATATCGTCTTATATTATAGAGATTCTATTCTTTACTCATGGCACCTGCAAAGTCCAAAAGATGAATACATACTCTTATTGCAGCAGTTTGAGAATTGTATGTCCATTTTAAGAGGTAATATTCCTTTAAACTGACTAAGTTGTTACTTTTCAACCACCTGAACCCAGAATGGATGAATTTATGATTCCACTTGTGACGACAATGTTATGATCTCATAATATATTCATAAATGTCGCAATCTTTTTCTATAGAAAAACATCACCCTCCCTTGTTTCGTCCCATCCGGCAAACCCTAACACAATCTGTATCTTCCTTGGACTATCGGATACGATTGTCTAATGTTGTCTGTCGCATTAATGATATTATGTCCCTTTGACTGTAATCCGAAACCTTAGTCAGTCATTAAAGTTTTTAGAAATGTTACCCTACTTTTCTTTTCTTTTTATCAAAAACCCTTATGAAGAACGTAACTAGAATATTATTTTACTGCAATGTCTGTTTTGAGTTATCAACAATAGAGGTATACCCATATCAAATCAACAAAGAACGTGTGTGATTATTTGTGGTTTGCGATTATTTGTGGTCTGGGTTCTAGTCCAACAATTCTCTCCTTTCAAAATGAAGAGTTAAAAATTAATTTCGCAAGAAAACTCAAGCAAAGATTATTTGGAAATGATACCAAAATCAGCCTTGGGTATTGCGGCAGCAGGCGCCGGAATATGCTTCATTGGATATTGTGTTTATTTTGATCGAAAGAGAAGAAATGATCCAAATTTCAAGCAAAGGTTAAGAGAAAGTAAGAAAGGTTGTTCTTATCACGTTGGTTGAATTACTCCCCTTTCTATAAGCTTCAGACTACAACCATTGTTGCCTTTGTAATGTCTTATACTTTTTTTCTCGTTAAACTTCCACTTATTTTGTTTTATAAAATCTTTTTTTAAATATAATTTCAGAAAGACGTCAAGCAAGAAATAGTGGCAAGAAATCATCTGGTTTGACTGAGGTATGATAGACCAAATTATTTTCCAGTTCCAGACTAATACAAATTCATCTTAATGAACTCTATACTGAATGTTTGGTCACTTATTACAAAAGAAACAAAATCTTAGTATTGGAAATATTCTTGTCCATGGCAGATCAGATCCATGTACTATCTAAAGCAATTGAATTGTTTGTTTATCTTGTAAATATCTCCACATGTGATTAATCTCTTATCAAACTGGTTTACTTTTATGCTGAAATATAGTCTTTATCACCTTATACTCAAAATACACTTGATTAGAAATACATCTTATTATAAAAATAGGGCTACATTGGTGCAGTATTATAGCTAACAAACATTATAACACAATCCATCTTCAGTTCATTCTTTATTTTAAATTTTGTAGTTACCCGATCTAACCAATCCTGAAGCCATGCAGAAATTTTTCTTTCAAGAAATTCAGTTGGGTGAAGAATTATTGGCTGCAGGTAACTTTTACTATCTCTTTGTTTTCACACTAATCCCTCCCAAAAGTCAGAGGAAAGATATGTACCAGTTAGCTTAGCCATGTGGAATTGTAGATGTTAAAGACCCCCATACAGTAGATGATATCTCCTGGTATTTTTCCCCATTGCACACTTCTAGATATGGCCTATTTTCATTAGCCCAATTTAGGTGCAGATAAGTTTGAATAAAATTCCATTTCCCTCCATTCAATTTCACTTCTTCCATTTCACTTTCCATTTCACTTTCCATTACACTTCATTCTGTTTCACTTCATACCATTTCACTTCATTCCATTTCACTTCATTCTGTTTCACCTCATTCCATTTCACTTCATTTCATTACACTTCATTCAATTTCACATCCTCTTTTTATTCTAGGTGATATTGAAGGTGGTGTAGATCATCTAAGTTACGCTATAGCTACTTGTGGTCAACCTCAACAATTATTACAAGTTTTACAGCAGACATTACCACCACAAGTTTTTGCTTTATTATTAGAGAAATTACCAACAGTTGGTCAGGTAAAATGTTAAAAATGCTCAAATCTGGTCCTGTCAACTATTATAGGACTAAATTATACAGTTAATCTAGTTTATAATTTTCATTTTTCATTGTTTACATAAAAAAGTTCAGAATGCTATGCTTATTCAGTTTTTGTTGCAGGTTATCTTCACAATATCAAGCAATTACAAACTTCACCTTCATAATGTCAAGCTATTTTGACCTTTATTTTTACAATGTCAAACTATTACGACTAATCCCAATAGGGTCTGCCTTTCTTGTATCACTGAAGTTTGTAAATGTAGTACTTTGAATGCATTGTATACTAGCAAATACAGCCAATCAGAAGCTTCAATAAAAAAGTCTGTAATCACTTCCTTATAGTGTTTAAAGCCTTCATTGTATTCATTAGCATACAATCCAATCAAAATGCTGCATTCTGTGGTACTAAAAAGCAGCTAATGGAGTCAAGGTATAAGCCAAATAGTTTGAGATTGTGATGGAGATCTTTATAGCTTGACATTATGAAGATGGTTGGAGGTAGGACATGAATGAACTTTGAAAACCAAGAGTTATGCTCTGAAGCTGAACTAAGTAATATTCTAGTCTAATGAAAATAACAATGTTTGTATTTTGTAGAGGATGTCTGGATTATCACCAGGAGGTTTATCAAGTTCATCTTCAAAACCAACATCTGATGCTGTTTTAGCTGAAGATGATGTAGAATAGAGTAGATAAGGGACATGATAAAATAGGGTGGGTGTGAAGAACGTGAGAGACTATGTGTGGAAATCTTTGTGTATTGACTTTCATTGATGGGCTATTATTATAAAAATCATTATAACATAACAGCTAAAAAACTTTTTAATAAAATGTCTAGTTTTGTTTTTATCCAGGGGCTTTCTACATAAACTGGGGGCAATGGCAACCCTTGTCTTAGTTCCATATTAAAAAAATGCTATTTAAACACATATAGCTGTTCAAACCAACAATGCAGGAATGCAGTCTAACTAAATTAGAACTTTCATTCCGTTTTCTTTTAAATACTGTTATTTTTAATATAGCCACTTCAGTTAGCCCAACAGCCCTCTTGAATGTTTGTGCAGTGCAGTGCAGGAGAGAAATTTGATTGGCTAAAGCAGACGTTATCAAGTTACGTCAAAAGGTTAATTTAGACCCTTACTGAAGTGGCTATATTAAAGGAAAAAGCCCATGAAAAATGAAAGTTTGGTCTGGTTCCTGAATGAATCAGATTGTGATGTAAAATAAAGATTTTGTCAATTTGTATGGACTTCAATAATTTTTACTAAAAACCAGGCCGACTTGAAGTACAAACTCACATACCGTCAGTAGACTTTAAAGTACTAATTTGTAAATTGAAGAAGTAGAAATTTATTGCTGTCTGAAAGATAAAAAGAGTTATTTCCCATTGATTTGAGCGCAGATATAATAAGAGGATATTCCAGGAAGTCCTAAAAACTATGAACTATTAAATCTAGGTCTATATGCCACTGACTGTTAGGCATTAATATACGTATAAAAGGACTTGATAAAGAAAGTGGAACAGTAAGTCAAGCCGCTATTGTTTTCGACATTATGAAATATGTACTTATCATTTATCAATGATTTATGATAGAATATGAAGAGGAATAGTGATATAATTATTCTACAGGCATTACTTTCCCTATCTCTCATTTATCACTACCTCTAATCTTCTGACGTGATAATATAATACTCTAATATTCAATCTTTTTATATAATCCATCCATGTATCTCTCATTGAAGGGATTCGGTCGTCTAATATTCTTTTTGACTTTAACAATAGAATTGCCTAGTTTCAAAGTTACGGTGTTTGGTTCAGTGTTGATGGGATTGAATAGAGAAAATGGAGACCAATTTAGACCGAAACATCTGTCTCTATTCCAGCCTCTGATAGCTATTTGGACCGATGTCGGCTGGTGTAGAGACGCAAAAAATAGGCCCTGTTAAATGGGAACATTCTGCATCTCCGCAGGTGTGGTTTTTTTAAAACCCATTTACATACCTCTGATCTACAAAACCAAGATATCTTTGGAAAGATGAATATTTTTGTAGTTCAGTCATACAATCATTTTCTTCCTACACCATCTATTTCTCTGATTCCATCAATTTTCTTTTTATAAAACTGATCTCGCATCGACAGATTAAAACTGCGTGTACAGCCAATAGGTCAAAAGTCCAGAGTTAAGTGGTACTAAAAAACGAAAGTTGCGGTAATGCCCAACACTTATTTACAGTTGTAAAGGTAATTTAATGCTATGTTAGAAAAAACGCATCTCTGGAGGTGTGGAAAATTCCCATTTTACAGGGCAAATGTTTCGGACTAAGGCCAATTATTGTGTGAGTATCGTGCCCGAAAGAACGCAACACCGTACCTCGGCTGTTCTCACCATTAGTCATTAAAACCTTTAGCAAAGGTTTTCAATTTGATGTATATATCCCTTGATTTCTTTTGCGGCTTTGCCTATGGCATTCATTCAAGATATTATGCTTGAATATCATTTTTTTTGAAAAGTTAGGATGAAGAAGATGGAGAGATTGTTTAATGATTATTTCCTGTAAATTCAGTCTTGAGATTTGTATCTTGGTGTCATCAATCTTGTTGAATGCGTTCAAGTCGTCAATATCTAACCTTTGAATCATCAAGTCGACTTTATCGTTGGTTAATTGATTGTTCAAGGATTTAGTTTCATATTGCTATGTGATCACTAGCTAGTCCGAGGAACTCAAAACTTATCTTCAGGCTCCGATAGATAGCTAATCGCAAGTAGAGGGTCGGAGATAAATGTACAATTTTGAAGACTTTGCAACCTCTTAAGCCTATATTTATACAGCTATGCCGCAAAACCACAAGCTCCCGGGCTCGTTTCATTTTTTTTAAAGAATTTTTTTGTCACTATGCCCAACCAAGCTCCTCCCACCAATCCAAAATTCTGCAGCCGCCACTGCTTCATGATATTCCGCCAGTCAGAACAGTTTTCCTTAATCCAATCAAGAACAGAAAACCGTACGGCTTAAAACTCTATTCCATTTAATTTCTTGTGGTTATTTTCAAAATGTCGTTTAATTATATACTCTATCCCTTTGAGATTTGTGTTTTAATACTGTTGACAATACCATACAATTTGTATTACTGGTATATTCAACCATCTTGAAAGATGGTTTGCACTGTGAATACCAATGATGAACAGTTACTTTATGGCAGGACATCAAGGATGTTGAAATTGTTGAAGCTCGAACTAATATTTATCGATATTTACAGGATTTTATCTCAAACTAACGGCCAGGCGAGCTGAAGGTTAAATTTGCCAGAATAAAGATAACTTTGATCATGTTTTTGGTTAATATTGATAAGTTTAAGATACGTTAATCTGTTTATAACATTGTTTGCTTTTTATAACATCGAGATCTGCGCTTTGATCAGATTGTCACCATCTGTAAGCAACTAGGGTAACCATGCAAGTTTACAGCATCTGGATAACACCGAAAAGGAAATCTCATTTTGTAATTTTGGAGAATTTTGATTATAATTAGGCTACATGGCATTGTTCCACAACTTTCAGAATACATAGCGAATGGAATCGTAATCTTTACTCTTTGGAAAATTTCCATAAATGGTTAAAAAAATGGACCGAGTGGTCTCTCTGAATGGTATGCTGGATCTAGTCCCTGGGAAGAATCAGGTACATACAATGGATCTGAATGATCACGTAAAGTAGGGTTTTCAACCTTGGGGGTATTACCCCAAGGGGGTAATTTTGGACATTTGGGGGGTGGGGGGGGGGGGGTTGTAATGATATGCTTTGTAATTTAGCAGAATATTTTGTACAATTATAACTTAAAATGATACTACGTCTTAGAATTAACATACAATTTTAAGAATTTTAAACTTGGTGAATAAGAGCCAGTAGATATACCTGGTGGCATAAATAATATAACAGAATCTTATATAATCCAATAAATCCAAAAAACTTAGTAATTATCCATAAATATTCAATAAACTATTGAAAAAAGCTTAATATCAAGAATTTTCCAATTTTCCAGATTTTACAGGGATTCTGTTGTAACTTTATGACACTAGGTAAGCTAACTGATGAATATATACTCATATTGACCATTCTTGAGAATTAAATTTTATGTTCATTCTAAGACGTAGTATCACTTTAAGTTATTCTTTTCAGTAAGACTATATTCTTCAACATGAAATAGCAAATCATGAAAAAGTAGTATTTTTAGGGGGAAGGAGGGTAATGCAATGAATCAACGATCCGGAAAGGGATAACAGAAGAAAGAAAAAGGTTGAAAATCCCCGATGTGGAGTATTTGCTGTATGAAATCATACAATCGTCAGCAGAGCATTGATTACTAGCAGTGTTAATGTAGAGAATACTCGCTAAATTATCGAAGAAATATCATTTAAAATGACAAGCAATCGATTTATTACCTTCATAGTATTTTTTTAAAGCCAGAAATATTCAATAATGACTCTTTATTGGTAAATACAAGAGTAAAATAATTGTGTAGAGACGTTATAGAAGCTGTAAAAGAAGGTGGAAGTTGACGTATTGACAAGGCAACAAGAAATCTCTTCTAACTCTTAATCAAGTCAAATGTCGATACAGTCAACGATGGTAATTTGAATTTAACAAGATTCCTTTTTTTGGACACAAGAAGAGGCAACTGAGTAAAATATTAAATTATTTAGACCACTCTTTACGCTTTCAGTTAATGAGCGAAATCGATGGTTTTTTTCTCGACTATGTGTGCTATTGAAGCTGAGTGCCATAAACCAGAAGACTGAAACAAACACTTCATCTCGAACACGCACCAGGAGGAGCTTGGTCCATGATATTATTTGTTTCTTTTTTCAACTACTAAATTTAACAAACCATAAGAACATAACCCACTCGGTCCAGTATGAACGCAATTATTTGGAACTGCCAAATGACATCATGTACTATCTATGATTCGGGATCGATCTTTTTTCTATACA